TTCTTTGCTAAAAATCTCAATTAGCCAGGTTTTGATGAAATGTGTGGGGTTACTTCCCTCAGTGCATTCTGGAAGGCCTACAATACGTACGTTATTACGTCACAGACGGTTTTCAAGACCATCCATTCTGACATTGTTAGTCTTAGCTAATTGTGCTGTAGAGTGGGTATCAGAGAGCAATGGGGGAAGTTTATCTTTCAGGTCACTTATGTGACTCTCTGCAGCTGTGGTCCTTTCTGGTAACCCTGTGATCTTCTGGGTGTAATACAGCATGTCCCAAGAACACTCTTTCCCACAGTGCGGCTTGTCTTACCAGACCTTCCAGCAGCCTCCTTCATCTTGTCACTTTCTCCTCTAAGAACACATTGCGGCTGTGCAGTATCGGCACCATGTTGGAAGTCCATGCCAGCCAGTACAGGATCGGTGATAGGATCAATAGCGGGAGCTCTGTGAAGCACAGCCTCTCACATGCCCTGCTTGGCAACACCCCCGGTATTTCTCTTTAATACGTTTACAGTTTCCCCTTTGTTTTATTATGGTTTAGGCTTTTCACCCAATCCTTTTGCTGAGCCCATGTTGGTGCCAAAATGTAACAAAACGTTAGTAAATTTGGGCAGTAAAGGATAAATATTTTGTGATGTCCACTCTTTCAGCTTTTCCTAACCACATTTTCCTAATAACTCAATTCTCTCTTCTGCAGATTGGATTAGAGATTCATAGTATTTTATTTTACTTTTAATGTAGGTTCTATTACCAACTCTGTACAGTCCAGCTGTGTATGATTCTTCATGTTTTATTTAGATATTGTCTTGCCACTTTTCTTCTTCCGCCTGTGCTGTACTTGCTAATCATTTCATCTTTAGCACTGTCACAGCAAATGCCAATTGCTCTCCTTATCTTAGCACAATAGGTATGATAATGGATTTTACCTCCTTATTTCAGCTACAAATCAGGCCTTCCCAGCCAGTGAAATATATTTACAGATAATGCGGCTAGCAATATATTGTAGCTAGAGCAGAGTGTTGATGTGCTCTACTGTAAGAAAATTGTCCCCTTGCCAACTCTAAATCAGTTTCTGAATAGGTATTGCTGTTCTATGGTCTGCAATTTACCTTGAGGGCCATGTCAGCTGTGATGTCTCTAATAGCAATTCTACAATGATGAATATCAAAGTTCAACTGTGAAATTCTGCAATGATTTGCTGTTTGGGGATTTAAAAATCTCAGGGATGGATTGCATTACTTGTTCACACTTTTTTTTATTGTAATTTAACACAATTGGCTCCGCAAATACCATTCTGTAAGATTTATAGATTAAACCTATTGAGCAGATGAGCAGTACATTTACAGATTTTTGAAATTATGTGATTTGCCATTCCCAAGAAAAATGAACTTTTGCCAGTTATCACAGTCAGACCATATGTAGCCACCACAAGAGAGTTTATTGAAAACCTTCTTAACTTTGGAGTTAAGTAAAAAAAAAAAAAATAGAAGCTTTGACCTCAGTATAATTACTTTGAATTCTGACCAGCTCTTGAGAGAAAAAATAATTTGTGCTTCAGATTTGTTTAGTTATGCAAAGTAAATTAAGGAAGTAAATGTGGAGTTATCTTCATATTTTAAATAAGACTAAACGGGCACTTCTAATTAGGATAAAATGATATATACCATCTCCACTGATTCAAAAATGTCTTAAAACGAGGATCTGAAAGGTGAATTTCTTGCTATAGTAATGAGTGAAAGACAATGGTAAAAAGTGGTATGGCTGCACTGCTTAAAAAAACAGTTTATAAGCACAGAGATACTCTAATCAATTACCAGGCTCTTTCTACTGCCGCGGGTGGTGAGAACTCTGTGAAATACCACATACTGCAAACTAAGGCCTGTATATTGCTAAAAAAAGAAATTACCTTATTACATACATACTCACAAGAATCTCAGGGTTTTAAAAAGACTCCCGATCCCCCCCCCCCTCCCAGGGGACCCCCTTTTTTAATTATGCATTTTAGCTTAAGGTGATTACAGTGCCTAAGGCAGGTGTTGCTCATAGTCAATTTAAGAGCTGCCTTTCTTTATAGCACCTCAATGCATCCTTTTTACCCCTATACCCAGTGTTTTAAAACATTTCAGAGTTATAGCCCTCAGGCTGTGGTTTGATAAAAATTGGCCAGCAACAGGACAGTAGGTTAACATGTACAGTAGGTAAATATACACAATTGTGGAAACACAAACAAGGCAGATATGTTGCTACACAAAAAAATAAAGTATATAAACTCATCGACACTTTCAAGAAAAAATACCAGCAGTAGGGCATTGGTAGAGCTTGGACACAAGGCGGATGTTTTATTGCAATTAAATTGACACTGTTCCAAAGATACTTCAGAATAAATTGACCAGCACCAAGGTGGTAGTTTAAGATTTCCATGTACAGTATTAAAAAATGTGATTGCTTTCTACAATATACATTCAGGACAGGCAGGACAGTTATGAGCTGTTTAACCGCTTCCTGCACGCCCACCCGCAATGTGCTGTGGACTGGAGGTAGCTGTAAGCAAAGCAACGTACACGTACATTTCTTTGCTCTTCCGGGTTTACATCACGCACGCTCGCCTCCCCCTCCCCCACTGCCTTCCACAGCCTTCTCGGGGGAACCTGAAAATGCAGAAGGTGTTTCTGCCAGCTGACCATAGAGCTGATTGGAGACCGGAATGGTGCCAATCATCTCTATAGTCTAAGAAATCGGAAGCTATGAGCATTTCATCACTTCAGTTTCGCAGGATATAAACAGCGCCATTTGTAAATTGGGAAAGCATCTGATCATACCGATCTTGGTAAGATTAGATAATGTAAGGGCAGAGGAGATATCCAGAGTCTGATAGACCCCAGATTTCTCAAAAAAGAATATATGACAACGCCCATTGAAGTTATAGGGGATATTTGCATTCCCTGTGATAGCATTAAAAGTGATCAATAACAAAAAAAAAAAAATATATATATATAAAAAAAAAAAAAGGACAGTGCAAAAATAATTAACAAAAAAAAAAAAACAGCAAGCGCATGAGCACCTGCGTGCTCGAGCGTCAACCCTGTGACAGTACGTAAACAGCGGTTGCACCACACATGTGAAATATCGACGTGAAAATCAGATCAAGGGCAGTAATTCTAGCACTAGAGCTCCTCTGTAAATCTAAAATGGTATCTTGTAAAGGCTTTTAAAGCATTGCCTATGGATATTAAAAATGTATGCAGTTTGTCGCCATTGCACAGGGCATGCGCAGTTTTAAAGCATGTCATGTTTGGTATCTATTTACTTGGCATACCATCATATTTTACCAAATAATTGGCCAATATTGTGTTTTGTACATTAAAAGTGAAAAAAGTGCATTTTTTTCAAAAAAATAGTACCCACCATTTTATTCACTAGGGTGTCTACTTTAAAAAAAAAAAAAAAATACTATTTGGGGGCTAAAAGTAATTTCCTAGCAAAAAAAAAAAAGATTTTTTTCATGTGAACAAAAAGGCTTGGTCTTCAGGTGGTTAGAAGAGTGAGTGATGTGTGGCATAAACTTCTAACTCTGGGCATAAAATGCCCTCACCCCACAAAATGACCCCTTTTTGGAACATAGACATCCCAAAATATTTTCTGAGAGGCATGTTGAGTCAATAGAAAAATGTATGTTTTTACTACAAATTTTTGGAAAATTAGCAGTCTAGCCAAGTACAGGACCCTAAAATCCAATAAGCACCTTAAGAAACGTGAGTATTTTGCAGATGTAATTTGTTGCCACAAGTTTTTGGAAAATGAAGAAAGAAAACAAACATATTTTTTCTTTTCTTTTCTTAGATTTCAAAACCTTGTGAGAAAAAATGAGACCTACAAAATACTCACCATGCCTCTTTTTAAATTCCTTAGGGTGTCTACTTTCCAAAAAGTGGGCATTGGGGGGGGGGGGGGGGTTGGTGCTATCCTGGCATTTCAGGGCCTCTGAAACTGTGAAAGGTGGTGAGGAAGCGAAATGAGGAAGTTATGCACCTTCAGCTTTGAAAGTGGTCATTGGATTTCAGGCTCCTCTATGTGGCTAGGCTCCCAAAAAGTATCACACATGTGGTGTCCCCATACTTGGTAGCAGTAGCAGAATGTCTTTTGAGTTGTAATTCCACATATACCCATGGCTTGTGTGAGCAATATATCATTTAAGGGACAACTTTGTGTAAATAAAAATGTTTTTGTCATATTCCAAAGACTTGTGGAAAAAAAATAAATCTTCCATGGTGTCAGGGCTCCCGGGTATGACCAGAGGTGTGTGACTGATGCAGGGAAACGCAGACTTCAGATATGTTATAAACAATATAATTTATTGACACTAACAATACAAACATAAACGCAGTGCAATACTAAAACATAACACAGTGCAAACGAACCAAACCAAACCACCCACAGATAACAGTACATACAATGCAAGCGTCGTCAGGCAGGCCGGGTCAATATCAATCAGGCAGGTAGGTACAGGGGGAGCAAGCGGAGAATGGTCGGGGTCACAAGCCAGGTTCAGCAGGTAGCGGGCAGCGTGGTACAGAGGGTCAGGCAGAGGGATGGTCAGGAACGAGCCGGGGTCAGAGCAGGAGAAGTCAGCAGAGGTCAGATCAGGCAGGGTCAGCAACAAGACAGGAACAGGAACAGGATGCAGGAACAGGATACAGGGCCCAGGAAAAACACACACCAAGGCAGAGTCTGCAGGTCTGGCCATCCCTTAAATACACCAGTATAATCAGTTCCAGGTGTTTGACTGGCTGCAAGGTTGAGTCTCTGATTGCTGGGAGCACCCGCTGGCCAGCCCTGGTACTGCAGCTCATAAGGCAGGTGAGTCCCACCATTGCTGGCCAGTCCATTCCTGACAGTACCCCCCGCCTCAAGGAGCGGCCTCAGGACGCTCCAAACAGTCCTAGCTGGGCAAAATGTTCCACCGCCCGGGTCTGGTAACTGGCGGGATATCAAAGACTGGCACACCGGGCAGGACTCCGGGCAGCGGCACACCGGGCAGGGGCACATCGGGCAGAGGCACATCGGGCAGAGGCACATCGGGCTGGACTCCGGGCAGAGGCACATCGGGCTGGACTCCGGGCAGAGGCACATCGGGCTGGACTCCGGGCAGAGGCACATCGGGCTGGACTCCGGGCAGAGGCACATCGGATTACCAGGCGAAGCAGCAGGCAGCGGGCCACCAGGCGGAGCCGCAGGCAACGGGCACCAGGCGGAGCGGCAGGCATCGGGCCCCCAGGAGGGGCGGCAGGCATCGGGCCCCCAGGAGGGGCGACAGGCATCGGGCCCCCAGGCGGGGCGACAGGCATCGGGCCCCCAGGCGGAGCGGCGGGTGCCGGACCCCCAGGCAGAGCGACAGGTCTCGGGCCCCCAGGCGGAGCGGCGGGCGCCGGACCCCCAGGCGGAGCAACAGGTCTCGGGCCCCCAGGCGGAGCAGCGGGCGCCGGACCCCCAGGCGGAGCGACAGGTCTCAGGCCCCCAGGCGGAGCGACAGGTCTCAGGGACCCCAGGCGGAGCGACAGGTCTCAGGCCCCCAGGCGGAGCGACAGGTCTCAGGCCCCCAGGCGGAGCGGCGGGCGCTGGACCCCCAGGCGGAGCGGCGGGCTCCGGACCCCCAGGCATGACAGTGGGCTCCGAGTCAACTGGCATGACCGCTGGCACTGGGTCAGACATTGGATCGTCTGGCTGGACAGCGGGCATCGGGTCACCAGGCATCAGGTCATTTGGCTCGACAGCGGGCACCACGTCATCTGGCAAGGCAGTGGGCTCCGAGTCAACTGGTATGACCGCGGGCACTGGGTCAGACATTGGATCGTCTGGCTGGACAGCGGGCATCGGGTCACCAGGCATCAGGTCACTTGGCTCAACAGCGGGCACCGCGTCATCTGGCAAGACAGTGGGCACCAAGTCACCAGGCACGACAGTGGGCTCTGAGTCAATTGGCACGACAGCGGGCACCGGGTCATCAGGTACCGGATTGTCTGGCTCGACAGCGGGCATCGGGTCACCAGGTATGACAGCGGGCACTGGGTCACCAGGCATCAGGTCATTTGGCTTGCCAGCGGGCACCGCGTCATCTGGCAAGGCAGTGGGCACCGGGTCACCAGGCATTGGATCGTCTGGCTCGACAGCGGGCATCGGGTCACCCGGTATGACAGCGGGCACTGGGTCACCAGGCATCAGGTCATTTGCTCGCCAGAGGGCACCGCGTCATCTGGCAAGGCAGTGGGCACCGAGTCACCAGGTACTACAGCGGGCTCTGAGTCAATTGGCACGACAGCGGACACCGGATCAGGTACCGGATCATCTGGATCAACAGCGGGCATCGAGTCAACTGGCCTAATAGGATCATCAGGCTGGATCAGTTCATCATGCTGGGTAGAGGCATCAGGCTGAGTGGAGGCATCAGGCTGAGTAGAGGCATCAGGCTGAGTAGAGGCATCAGGCTGAGTAGAGGCATCAGGCTGAAGAGGCATCAGGCTGAAGAGAGGCATCAGGCTGGGTACAGGCATCAGGCTGGGTACAGGCATCAGGCTGGGTACAGACCTCAGGCTGAAGTGCGGGTGCCGAGGCACCAGGCTGAACCACGGAAGGCAGGTTCTCAGACGGCAGGCTCACCGGTTTGGATACTGGCAGGATGGTACTGGTTGGAAAGAATTTTTGCACTTTTTTCTGGTTTTAACTACTGGAGCACTGCAAGTAAACGCAGGTCTGCAAACGAATGGAGCAGCTGGAGACAGAGAAGAGCTGGAGGATGGAACAGGAGAGGGAGCGGTTGCTACAGAGGGCTTTTTTACAGGGTTAAAGGCAGGATAGGTGCAGCGAGTGGGAACAGGGTACTGACATGCGGTAGATAGCAGGGCAGGAGGAGCTGTTGGGAATGCAGGAATAGAGCTTTGAGGAAATAGATTAGAAGCAAGACTGGGTTTTTGTAGGCTGACTGAGGCTGGGTGCAACAAATCTGTCCATGTCTGCAGTATGGGTTTGAACAAAGCTGAGCTTACACAAAGCCTGTCTGACCAAAGACTGCACTGCGTTTATACAATCTCTTAGTATCTGTGGTGAACATGCAGCATAATGCTCCAAGAAGCAATCCACATCATCCTCTAATAACCATACCAGGGACTCTACCTGGTCGGCACTAAATGACGGCAAAAATTCATCCCTGCATTCGGGGGTACCAGATGAAACCAACTCGGCACAAATCTGAATCAATGGCTGCACCTCAGAGAATTCTGTGCCCTGATCTACTAGAACATGAGCGAGCCGTATACATTCTAGCAGTTCATCCCGGGGATACTTTTTCAGAGTTTTGATAAGCATACTCTCTGTTATCAAACACTAGCAGATATAAATACACAACCTCATCAAGATCCATCCTTCCCATCAACAAACCAAGATGGCTTCCCTGTGCAGCCACTTCTGGTCAGGATTGGCCTTGGTGTAATGTCAGGGCTCCCGGGTATGACCAGAGGTGTGTGACTGACACAGGGAAACGCAGACTTCAGATATGTTATAAACAATATAATTTATTGACACTAACAATACAAACATAAACGCTGTGCAATACTAAAACATAACACAGTGCAAACGAACCAAACCAAACCACCCACAGATAACAGTACATACAATGCAAGCGTCGTCAGGCAGGCCGGGTCAATATCAATCGGGCAGGTAGGTACAGGGGGAGCAAGCGGAGAATGGTCGGGGTCACAAGCCAGGTTCAGCAGGTAGTGGGCAGCGTGGTACAGAGGGTCAGGCAGAGGGATGGTCAGGAATGAGCCGGGGTCAGAGCAGGAGAAGTCAGCAGAGGTCAGATCAGGCAGGGTCAGCAACAAGACAGGAACAGGAACAGGGATGCAGGAACAGGATACAGGGCCCAGGAAAAACACACACCAAGGCAGAGTCTGCAGGTCTGGCCATCCCTTAAATACACCAGTATAATCAGTTCCAGGTGTTTGACTGGCTGCAAGGTTGAGTCTCTGATTGCTGGGAGCACCCGCTGGCCAGCCCTGGTACTGCAGCTCATAAGGCAGGTGAGTCCCACCATTGCTGGCCAGTCCATTCCTGACACATGGACTCAATATGCCTCTCAGCATATAGCATAGGGTGTCTAATTTCTGAAAAGGGGTCATTTGGGGGTGGTTTGTACTGTCCTGGTATTTTAGCACCTCAATAAATGTGACAGGCAGTCAGAGTAAAAGCTGTGTAAATTCCATTATCTATACCATAGTTTGTAGATGCTATAACTTTTACACAAAGCGATCAATATACACTTATTGGGATTTTTTTTTACCAAAAACATGTAGCAGAATACATTTTGACCTAAATTTATGACTAAATTTTAGTTTTTTGGATATTTTTTATGACAAAAATTAAAAAATATTGGTTCTTTTCAAAATTTTTGGGGTTTTTTTGTTTTTAGCGTGAAAAATAAAAAGTGCAGAGGCAACCAAATACAACCAAAAGAAAGCTCTATTTTTGTGAAAAAAAGAACATAAATTTCATTTATGTACAGTATTGCATGACCGCACAATTGTCAGTCAAACTAGTGCAGCGCTATATAGCAAAAAAATTGGCGTAAATTGCACTATCTATACCATAGTTTGTAAACGCTATAACTTTCACACAAAGCAATCAATATACACTTATTGGGATTTTTTTTTTACCAAAGACATGTAGCAGAATACATTTTGGCCTAAATTTATGACTAACTTTGAGTTTACTATATTTTTTTTTTATAGCTGAAAGTAAAAAATATCATATTTTTCCAAAATTTTTGGTCTTTTTTTTTTTGTTTATAGCGTGAAAAATAAAAAGCACACAGGTGATCAAATACCACCAAAAGAAAGCTCTATTTGTTTGGAAAAAAGGACATACATTTCATTTGGGTACAGCATTGCATGACCACGAAATTACCAGTTAAAATAGTGCAGCGCTGTATAGCAAAAAGAGGCCTGGTCAGGAAAGGGGGGGGGGTAAATCCTTAGGAGGGCAAGTGGTTAAAACAGGTCAAAATGTGTAAACATAAGTCAAGTTTTTTTCTTTTTCAGTAAAGATGCCAGTCCTAAGGGCATATCTGACATTCATTGAAGGATAATGTATCTTCCTGGTGCACCTGTCTTAAGTGGCAGTGTTTAATTCATCACTTTGGAGCCAGTTAAGTCTATCACTCCTTGTGGAATGCACTTGTAAATACTAGGCTGCTTCTTACACTACACATTAGGTCTTAGGCAAACTGACATCTCTAGCTAGTGGTCCATCTTTGCACAGGCCTTTATGTTGAGACAAAAGATAATGAGAACAAGGCCAATTGTTGAGACAGAAGGCACAGAGAGTTATCTTCCAAAAAATGTAGATCATTGACCCATTCTAAAATCAAGGGTGTAATTTTGTTTTTTTAACAAAATAAGAGAGGTAAAAGGAGGAGGATGGAGTATAGATGCCAGAAGGCAGAAATGGTGGCAATAATGGCAGCAAATGTGAAAATAGGTGGAACAATTTGGGCATTTCTTAGTTGAATGTATATCAAATAAATTTGAGTGTTTGATACTCCTGTTATCCAGACCTGATTAATTTCAATAAAAGTCAGCTTCTCAGACTGAAAATCACCCACTGCACTAAAGGCCCACTCTGAATTGACACTTCTGCAGAGCAGTCTGTTACCTAAAGCACATATTGGGCCACCTGCAGTCAGTCATTCTCAATACCCAGTAGTCCTTTTTTTTTTTTTTATTTACAGCCTTGTCATCCCTGCCTGTGTTTGCTGGATCAGGGCAGCCTTACGAGGAAAAAAAAACCAAAACAAAACACAACACAGGAAATCTGTAAAAAAAAGTTTAACGCAGAAACCCAGGCAAAAATGTTTTTGAACCATGCAGTGAGGCTGTGCCCGCACCGCATGGGCTAACTGCTCGTTTTTGTTTAGGGGGTGATAACAGTGAACATATACAGTACTAACCGAATCTGTCGAACCTCAGAGCGCAAGGGTGTGAGGATGGCAGGAGCAGTCCACCGCTGGACATGGGGGACTGCGGTTTTACGGAGGATTGGAGGAATGGGTAAGTACAGCTCTTCCCTAAACAAGCTCGTGCAAAGGTGTAATCTACTAAACATTGTAAACTGCCAAAACCCATTTTATAAGCACCAGGAGCCTCCAAAGGATTTTGCTACAATTACAGAAAATGACATAACCTTTGGAAAACAGATACAGTATGGGTTGCAGATACTCTTCAGAGCAACACAAACAATAAAAACCATGGATAAGGGAGTTGTTGGTGATAGAGAGAATTACTCCACAAAGGATACACAAGGCCTGAACAGCTAAAAACATAATAGGAAGAAATATAGAATATCATTCTGACAGCATGAGGAAGGGTGACTTGGGTACAAATATTGCCCTTGCTCAAATACAAATAGTGATGAGGACACTGTAAGAAGTACTCTACCTGAAACCACAAAGACTCTTCAATTTTACATACCTAACAAGGCTCAAAAACTGTTTTGAAACTACAGGTCAAACACAAAGGGCTTTGTCACATATCTGTTGATTTTGCCATCTAGAAGAATAAAAATTATTATTATTATTATACAGTATTTATAAAGCACCAATAGTTCGCTCAGCGCTGTACATTACAAAGGGGGACAGAACATGTGACAGAACAATACCAATACAATGCAAAACATGAGGGGATCGAGGGCCCTGCTCTTTCGAGCTTACAATCTAGGAGGGAGGGGATGGTGGCACAGGAGGAGAAAGCTGTGGGGGACGGAGTGGTAGGAAGAGTGGAGGAGATCGGCAAGTTAGCAGGGGGTGGGGTAGGCTTCCCTGAAGA